TGTAAAGTTTTTCTTAACATTAATCACATTGATTTTGATCAGATAAACGATAAAACTAAATCTAAATATTCAGTATTTATAGAGGATTATGATGAGAATTCATTTGGTAAGCCTGTTATGGAATATAAAAATGATGATAATATTTTAGCAATTAAACTGGGTTATTTGAATGTTGAAAATACTGGCTTTCAAAATGCTATAAAATTAATTGGGGTTACTAATTCAATAAGAGGATTAATTGAAATATACAAAAGTAGAAAAGAAGAGGTGGCTGATATAAATGATGAAGAGATTGAAAATGTTGTTAAAGTTACTCTGGACAAGGCAATTGAAGAGTATGATGGTAATGTTAAGGATTATTATTATAATTTAAATAATAAAACTTAATTCAAAAATTGTTTTTTTATGATTTTTTTAATATTTATGATTTTTTTAATGTTTTTTTAATATTTTAAAGTAAATTTAAACTTTATAGTAATTTGAAAGATAACTTAGAAGATAGATATGATAATATGATAAATTTAGATAATGAGAATAACACTGGATGTTATGAAGATAAAAGAGTGGTTTGAATAAACTTTTTTACACATTTTCTGTTGATTAAGAACAAATATAGTAAATTTGATCTTTTTAAAGTTATTTTGTTTTAACTTAATATAATTATACTTTAGATTAAAAAATAGTTTTTTTTACAAAAAATACATTATTGAAAATAATTTATGAAAATTAAATACAGATAAATACAGTAAATTGTGATCAAGTCGAAAATTTTTTAAAAACAAAAAATGTTTAAATTTTTTATTGTGAAAATATTCAAATATTCAAATCATAATAATACTAAGTGTACACCTCCCCAGATAAGGTATATTTACTTACCTTTTTGGGTTTATTAATAAAACGTTTTCCTATGATAATTTATTCTTCCTTTTTTATTTAAATATCTGAAACCCTTTTTGTTTCAGATTAACAGCTTTCGTTATTATTATCAATAATAACACTAATATTATACCTCTTTTTTTAAGGATTGCTAGTTGTTGAGTTTGTATTTTGAATAT